TTTGTATTAAAAATTTTTGGGGCCGGATTGAACTTTGGCGGACCCACCATGTTTACATGTTGTGTATTAATGCGCTGTAATGTACCAGTGGGGGGGGGCTGTCAAAAATAATAGGCATTAAAAAATAAACACACCTTCACGTTTAACATGGCAAATTATCAATCAGTTTCAGAATGGCTGCCAATGGAACGGGAAGGCAACTTGCAACTTTCACAGTTGACTCGGTAGACATTCTGAATTGTCTTTTGGATGGTAAACTTTTACTTCCACTCCCGCACACAGATGCACTGCTTAGGGGGTCAAAGTCATAGTGCAGATTTGTTTGCTGCAGATCACACATTTATAAAGCCACCAAAACTGTCGCAACACTATTATTTTCAAGAAAATTTCAAACCAAACTGTAAAATATCAAATTATGGTTTCAAACAGGGGGGCTTGTCCCCCTGTAACCCTGCCAGATTTTTTCTAGCCCCCCCTTCTGGTCTAGTGTAATAGGCCTAGATCTAGAGGTCGATTAAGAATTAAATATTTCGAAGACTTTTAATTTGCGACGGACAAATATTCATGTTCAACGCATCAATATTTAGTAGAAAATGGACAACTGGTAGTTAAATTGTGAGACGAGAGGGATAGTAAAAGAAATACTGTCATTTTTGCTTGAATTAAGTTCTTTCTCTTAATAATCAGAAGTTAACTATAGTATTATTTTACTTTCACTCCAGTTTCACGCTCACTGAGATATTATCATAGCCTTTTTCATGTTCAATTTCTTTCGTTGTACATGACAATATTGACTGTCCAGGCTGTCAATTATTGTTTTTTAATATTTGTGTTTTGCTAGAAGAAGATCTAATTGCATAGAGAGTAATTTATGCGCCTTGGATCAATCTGTGGATTGAGGTAAAGTGAAAAAAATCTGGGGAATTACAGTGCGTGCTACCATCCCCTCTCCCCCACCCTGTTGTTTTTCCCATACAGTCTAGCATCTGCGTTTGTTGCCATTTTTTTGTCCAAAAGTTCCCAAAAGTTGGCTCAAAAAGTGGCAAAAGTTGCACAAAAAAAGTTGCCATTAATTTTCAAGCTTTCAACTCTCAGTGACTACGTAATATGTTGATAGAGGTAACAATCTAAAGCACCAGAATTTCTTGTGCTCTGTGTTAAGCATCCAGAATATCATTTGTAGTCACCCACAGGGTAAAAACGTGAAAAAATAAAGATTTCACAATAGAATGGAACCAAAATTAGAACAGCACGGATAAATAACCACAAAAATTAACAAATAAATGCGCGTGTCCACCTATCCGAAGATATGCTGTTTTAACCCTAAACTTTTCATATCATACATTGTATAAAATTTACCTTTACCTTAGTGTACTTCATCTCCAACCCTTTCCCAACTTCATATTTTATTAAAATCAAACACCAAGGGTATTAAGACCCCTGTAGGGTTTGTTTTCCCATACAGTCTAGCATCTCTACTCTGGGCTGTCAAAAGCTTTCTCGTAGTCTCACAAAGTTAACGTACAGGGAAGAGTTCCACTCTGTGGACTGCTCCACTATTATCCTCAAAGTTGCAATCTGATCTGTAAATGATCTCTTTTTACAAAATCCTGCCTGCTACTCTCTTAGTTTTACATCCACGGCTTCCTTCAGTCTTTCCAGTATGGTACGACTTAAAATCTTCCCAGGAATGGACAGGAGCATGATTCCTCTGTAGTTTTTACACTCATGCAGGTCTCCTTTCTTGGATAATGGGAGTCAGGTTAGAATTTCCTGTATTTATAATTAAAAGTTGTCAGTCGGAAATAATAAAATGAGGTCAAATACTCAGTTACATTACTCTACTTCCTATACTTTTTAATCCGCCTGATTTTGATCACTATTCCCATTTTGTTTTGCCTAATTTTTTTTCCCTTTCTCATGATCAATTGGTCTCGACAGAAATTGTGTAACATGTAACAACTCATGCTGAGCTGTTGTAAATGAGTAAATGTTTTGGTAGTGTTTACTTCATTTTTCTTTTGGCAATTTTTCATTTCAACTCAACTCATTCACTTGTCCTTTGTGTCAACGCGGATGAATGTGGTATATTATCTGCCAGTGAGACTATGCCCCCTTTTTGGAATACACATTTTTTGTCTGAAAGAGAGATCAACATCCAAGTAACACATTTTCAGGTCTGGAATGATTTTGCTGTGAAAACAAAAGAAAGATATTTTAGTTGTTCCAGATGTTCCACTTAAATATTTACAGAATCAATTTGGCAAAGTTCTGGTTTGAAGAAAAGAGTACATTTAGTGGGAATGGGGGCTTTGTTCTTCCTGTCACTAAAGAATAAATAAAGCCTCTGTATTACATTTCCAGAGGATTTTTTTTTAAATTTTGATAGCGCTTTGTGATAAAAAAGGTATGTGATAATGATACAACACATTCTGAGAGGGCTTATTTGAATGGCAGCAGTTTCAAATCAGGGGGCTTTTTGTGAAATTATGTTAATTTCAAATAAAATACTCTCATAATAACAATAATTCAATGTGAAGTTTTAAGAGTTGAAATTGCTGGCATATATACTGGAGGCTTGAGGTTGAGTTATTTTTTAGGCTAGTGTTTTAGTTGGGTGTAGGCATCTCCTTCTGCTCTTCAATCAGATTTCGAGAGATGTGTGTTGCCAGGATTGTCCTCAATAGTACATGATTTTTAGGTGCTAACTTTTTCTGTTTTATTCTTTTGGCTCACTTGGGCTAACTTACAAACCAACATCTGCTTTTCACTATTGCAGGCAAAAGAAATGAGTTCAGTTACTGAGTGGGAGTCTGTGATAATAATACAACACATTCTGAGAGGGCTTATTTGAATGGCAGCAGTTTCAAATGCTTTGAGTCTCCATTTTATTTCCCTTCTAAGATCAGAATCACACTCCGCCTCGGCAGGCCCGTAAATTATGTTGGGGGGGGGTGGTTGAATTTGACTCACATCTTTTTTATTTACCTCTTTACTTACGCAGCTTATTTCCGTGTCTGCTTTCATGTTTGTTCTCTAGATATATCTACATTTTGTACATACTCACTTGCTTTCTATGCTGTTTTGCATATATTGGGCAGAGATGAAGACTGTCTCTTCTTGCTTCCTCCAACTCTGGGTAAGCTAGTGGGAGAGCAGTCAGATGTGTCATCAGTCGTAAGCTTTCTTTCCATGGGGGTGTTTTTGTGTCACCCTCTCTTTATCTTGTGTGAACAGGCAGGAGTCTGACGCAGGGCTGTTTGGTGGTGCTGTTCTGTTTCTGCTCACCACATGCTTGTTCAGTTTCCACTTCTTTCTGGTAGTCATCATCTCTTTGCACTCTGTCCTGAATTGCCAATTTGAGAAATTTTAATGGGGGGTTTTTTTCTTTTTTTTTTTTCTGAGGTTTTTTTCTGTTTTGGTGCTTTGATTTGAATTCTAGTTGCATGGGATGGATGATTCAAAATTGTATCATGTACACATGGGTCAATTTGTGACTCACTCCATGTTTATATAAAATGTGCTAGAATTACATTTATTTTAAGTGTGTGTGTTTGAGGGGGGGGGGTGTCCTTTCTTATTTTTCATTACATTCTTTAATTGTATTAATTGAGTTATAAAACATAAGCCTATAGCTCTACTCAAACAAACAAACAAACTTTTTCTATCTTTGCGAAAATTTCATTTCCAATATGACATCATGAACTCTGTGTACAGAATCGCACAATCATGCTGGGATAAAAAATACATAAATTTGCATGTTCATAAATGTGAAGTATACTAATAAAATGAGTTACCTCTCATATGTCAGCCTTATGGATATTGATACATCCACTTTATAGGTTGAGTTTGTACAATTTGTAGGTACATGTATGGAATAATAAAAGTAAGACAAGATAGACTTGAAGAAAATGGCATCAATTGAAAATCTATAAATATGATCCCAGTGTCGATTTTCAGCCGCTATCTTCTTTTTCAGATTGTGAGAAGTAACTCATTTTGTCAGCATACTTCACATAGGCCTATAGCCACACATAATATTACAATATGGCTTTCAGTCATTTATAATCAACCACTCAATCACCAAAGCTCCAAGTGGCACTGGCAGATATTTCCAGGAACATGATCTTAGTAAAGAGCACTTTTAAAATCAAGCATGCCCTGCATCACTGCCGATTTGCAGCGTCTAGATATGATTTCATTTGTCCGTTATTTAAGTCTGGTCTAAAGTAAAGTGCAAATACTCAACAATTTCATTCAGTTCTTTTAATCAATTAGCTTTTTGTCTGCCTGTAAAGTTCTAGTAAAAAAGTAAGACAAATCATTATGATAATTAAGAAAGTAATGATGCAAATAATAATGATATTAAATTAATAACGTTCAATAATAATATTACATGCAACAATAGTGATAGCAATAAAGATTAAATTGTAGGGCCTATTACTACTTGAGTCTTTGAGGAAACAAGGCCCCAAAGCCTTTTTGTGGGTAGCTGGAAGGCCGGCACTAAATGACCGATGTTCTGTTTGTTGAATTGATGTGCTTCTAAGCCTTCTCTTTACCCTTACTAACCAAAGCCCCGTGGGTGATTGGTGGGTGCTCTGGTGTGGTTTGCTCTCTCTTTTTTCTTAAACATCTATCGTACGGTTTTAATCTCTCCTTTTTTTTGGTTACTCTCTTTTTTACACCCCTGATCTTCGGCACGTATATGACCTATTTGTGTTGCAAGTGCTGTAAAACTAGGCTACTTACTTAAACGAAAACCAAAGCCTTTTGTAAGCTCCCTCTTTGCTCTGGATCACAAAATCTGGCTTTCCAAAGTAGAATCTGTGGTGGCGAGGAACAGCTTCATTTGTTCTGGCTGTACATGGTGTACTTTTGTTTTCAGTTTGGTCTGTCGTAAGTATAGCGTGCACAAAGCTTCCAGGGGTAAGACCAGGTTAAGGACGTACGACACGACAAAACGAACAGTGATTTGTAGTTTGTAGATAAAACAAAACAAAAAATGAGTAAAATATAACAAAATTGTTTTGCCATACCCCGTTGACACCGACACGATTATCCTCTTCACTGACGACACGATTCCCAGAGAACATGTTTCAATTTTTTCCCGTCTGTTTCAAGGGAAACAATTTCATCAGCTAGTCCCCTTCAGAATTACTTCTCTTTTCCCTATCAGTTGTATATGAATAGCTATGATGCAATATCACGAAAAGGTAAAGAATCGTAATGCCTTGTTTTGCTTTGTTTACTATGTATATACCGCAGACATGAATGAAGAAAGACTCATTCTTGCAATCCGAAACGTCAGGTCATCCCTACATTTCTTCAAAAGTTCATTTAAAAAACTGGGTTTCATTCGAAAGTAGCTGAAGAATTTGTCATGGTCTTCCAACAATTGCGGGAACAGATCTAGATTAAATGTCGAAAATCACCGAGAGTCTCACGCTGTCTCAATATTGGGTGAAGTGAATGCCATATTTTTTTAAGCACGTTGTCGTTGTCTCTTCTGTTTCCTCCTCAACCATGATAACAAAAACTACATGTACTTCTTTCTCCTGGTACACGTCATGTCTGATGATAGAATGTCGGGGATATTGTCTGTTGTTAAGTCGTCCGTCCTCAACGTGGTCGTACCCAAAGTCAAATAAAGAACTGTTTTCGCACTGTATAAACACCCCTCTCCCCAAGAAAAAGAGAAAAAACAAACAAAAAAAAACAACACATTTTTCACTCACATAAACATGAACAAAGCTGCTGCCACACATTTGAGTGGAATCGTCGTGGGGGACTGCTTCTCGTCTTGCACACTTGTGAAATTTGTAACAACAGCGCAGGTCGATAATAGCGGGAATTCCCAGAATGACACGTAGTTTTCCAAGAAATAAGGTACCACGTTGTAGTTGCTGCTGTGGATACGGTAACCCAAATACACGAGAAATGGAGGTTTATTTTGCTTAAAATGTAGGTACACTTTGTATTGTATTGTTGTGCTTTTGAATGTAGGCCTACTTGTGTGTATGTGCTGTCTGTCTTATAGTACATGATGTCCAGTATGGTATACGTTTGTGGGCTTCCATGTAGTAATATAAAATGGTACTAACTCTTTATTATATCTTTAATT